GGCAGTCGCAAATGCCTTGTCTGCGGGAGGCGGGAGGAAGAAGCGGGAAAGAAGAACAGTGGCACCCAACAAGCAAGACAGGCACAAGCTGCACCGGCGCCTGTGCGCGACGACGGCACCCCCACAGTTGTCTCGTGTGGACGACCCCAACGGAGCCCCTACGGAGCGGGCGCACAAAACCCCACCAGCGCCACCCCAGCGGCCGAGGTGGGGGCGCTCTCGCTGCGAACCCACAGCGCGTTGCTGCGCTGCGTGCTGCCAGCCCCGCTCTACGCAGACCGCTTTTTTTTTTTTCTACAGCCCCCGTGCTTCCAGTGGGTTGCGCCGCCTCCCGCCTCGCGTCTCGCACGCCCTGCAAAAAACTTTCGCGGCGTCCGCCTGCAGTTGCCCCGTCCCCGCCGATCGCTCAACCCCGGACGACGGCGCGTGCAGAGGGGCAGCGCAAACATGCCGCCACCACCGTCCTTTGGCGAGGCAGCAGCGGCGGCTCGACGGTCACCGCCACAGGCGGCGGAAGGAAGTGGGCGCCCACTACGCCAACACCCACGCGGCAGCAGGAAAAGACCCGCGAGGAACGGCGTGCACGACGCCGGGCGACGGCGGAATCGCGTCCGCCAACACCGCGCGCCGATCAGCAGGTGCACATCAACGCCGCACGCCATCGCCTCGTCACGGTTGATGCCCCTTCTCGGCAACCTGCCGCCGAGGAAGTCGCGGATCAGCTGCCGCACCTCCGGCACGCGCAACGGCCGGCCAACCAGCACAATCTCGTCTATATAGTCCTTGTTCAGTTCAGCGCCCTGCAGCACGCGCTGCACCGGCACCAGCGTCCCCTTGAACAGCTCCACGCTCAGCCCCTCAAACCCCGCGCGTGTGATCTTCTCGCCAAAGTCGAGGCCCTCCGCCAGGCTGCCCACACCTCCACGCGCGCCTCGGGGTGCGACGACAACTTCCGCCTCGGCGCCTAATACGGGTAGTGCTGTGGTCGCATATGTATTTGTGTCTTCGCCTGTTTCACTTCTTAGTGTGCTTAATTGTGCACGTGCGTGAATGAACCAGTGGCTTGGAGTTTGTCCCGGAAAGTCTCAGAGAGAGGAGGGGTAGGAAGCAACGGTGGTGACTTTCCAAAGCAGCCAGGAAAGTGAGCACACCAACAGGCAATAAATGTACACAGTTCCTGCCAATGCCCAAGGGTAGACACCCGAGTCCCTTCAGAATACATAAGGCATAGCTCGCAAATGGAGCGTCCCCCTCAATCTCTGCTGTCTATTGGCGGCCTTTGTGACATGCAGATGTTTCTTGTACATTCACTCGGCTTCTCCTACCATTCCCGTGTGCGGAGAGAGCTCTTGGGCGGCAGCGTCATGCCGTGCGCCGGCGCTTCATCCTCTGTGTAGTAGCGACCAGTGCGTAGCTGGTATTGCGTTGTGCTCTCATACAGTGGGGCGAGGCGCAGATACGTGTTATCCACTGCCCTCGGTACCGCCCATGGCTCGGCGACGGTGCCATTGTAGGCGGATCCGCCCGTGGGAGGGATGCGCACGGTGTGGTTGCCTGGGTGCATGGAGCGGCGCTCGGGGTTGGCAGTGTCAAGTGGAAGTTTCCCACGGACCACTGCCTCGGTGGAGTAGGGCGCCTTCTCGCCGGTTGCCGCGGCAGAGCCGGCGGCGCCGCGTGCGTCCATGGGCGGTGCCGCAGACAAGGCCGAGGGGCCATGAGGGTCGACGTCGTCTCTGCTGTTTGCACGCATTTCAGGGCACGCGCCAGCGGCATCCACGTCCCGCGCCCCGCCGCCGCTGTGCCCGCCCCCACCCACCGCCCCAGCGGCGCAATCGGCCCCTGTGCCCTCTTCTGCGGCGCTGGGCCCGTTGTGTGCGGCGCGGTAACGCGACCTGCCAAACAGATTGGGCCTGTCGGGGCGCTTGGCGTTGCCGAAAGGGTCAACGCTGTCCGTTGCCCCCGTCGTGGTGCAGGCGCTGCGTGAGCGGAAGGTGCCGTGCGGCACAGGGTTGAGCCAGTAGGCGCCTCCGTGGTTGATGAACACATCGCGGCCCTCGCCGGCCGTCTGCGAGGCCGGAACGAACGCCATACGGCTATCGCTAGAAGCAAAAGGGGGGAGGCACAGGGGCGACGCGTGCGCGAGAGAGCCGGGGGCTGCGACAGGGGCAGCGGAAGGAGAGAGAAGCGCAGACAACACACAGGAACGAATCGGGCAAATAAACACCCTTCGCACCACCCAACCGTCGAGCCGCCCAAAGGGGGAGGGAGGCACGCACCCGCGCCAAGGCCCCCGATCCAATTTGGATTGCCGCGAAACCCACCGTGGCTTCGCACAACCGTCACAGCTTCCTGCTCGAGGACTTCTTCTGCCGCTGTGCCGCGAGTTCGCCCCGACGGCGATCCAGCCGCGCCTTGGCGTCGTCCAGGCCGAGGTGCTTGCGCTGCCGCCGCATCTCCGCCGCATCCGCCGTGGCCTGGCGCTGCGACGTGTTCTTCACTGCGTCCCCGCACCCGTGCACCTCCGGCAGCCGGTGCGTCGTGCACATGCGCTTGCCGCAGTGGTCACATGCGGGCAGTGCCAGGTACGCCCGGTTCGCACAGCCCCTAAATCCGCAGTTTGTTGACATGTGACCCACGCAACAAGTCCCCCTTCTGCGGCGACGCGGCCTCAAAAACGCCGCGCCGGCAGGAAGAGGGGAGAAGTGGAAGAAAACAAGGAAGGACACTGAGAGGCCAACAGCAGCAGGAACAACAGCAGTAAGGGAGGGAATATGGGCCGGCTTGGGGGTTCCCACGAAGTGAACACACACACACACACACACGGACAGTCAGACAAAACCAGCATGTCCTCCTCGCTCCCTACCCTCCCTCCTCTTCTCACGCAGTTGGGCTTCACTAACGCACTGCAGACGCCACATGCCAGGGATGGTGCGGGTACACGCGCCAGCACACACCGCAATGGCATGGCCGCACAATGCCTCTGCAGCGGGCGACGGCACGGCGGCGCTGCCATATCACCCCGCTCCACAGAGCGCGCCGTAACGGTTCGCCTGATTATTCATCAGGAGCGCAATGATAAGACCGTATAAGCCAAGGGCCTCAGAAAAAATCAGCATCAGCACCATCGCCACGAACACCTGATCCTGCTTGCCATACGCCCGCACTGCGGTGTCGCCAACGACGCCGATCGAGAGACCTGCGGCCAACGCCGCCAGACCCGCCGCCAGGCCGGCACCCAAGTGCAGCGTGCCCGAGAAGGTCGAGTATGAGAACGGCTCCGTCTTGATGTTGTTATTGATGATGACAGCCACAATGAGGCCGTAGATGCCAAGAATACCTGCCATCACGACGGGGACGATCCCACGCATGATCTTTTCCGGTGCAGAGAGCCCCAGGTGTGCCACGCCCACACCCGCCTTGGCGGCGCCGTACGCAGAGCCGAGATTCGCAAACACAAGGGCAACGGCAGCGCCCAGTGCGCCGTAGAAACCAGCACTCTGCGGATACATGCGTGCCAGGCACGCCTCCTGCCGCGTTGCGGCCCACACACCCATCGCGACGAGAGGGCAGATACTGGCGGCGACGCCCAACAGCCTTGACACAGCAAATTGCATGTGCCCCACCATGGCGCAGCGCAACCACAAACAGACAGCACGAACTACGCTCAGCTCGCAGAGGGGAAGGGAAAGAAAGAAAGATCCCTCAGTCAGCAGCCGCAAAAGAAAAAAGGAAGACGAGACACACAGCGCACGAATGCACGGTCTCCGCGATGCAACTCATCTCACTGGGTCTTTCACAACGCCACCACACCCACTTCCTGCCAACACGCCAAACAATAACCTCCGCCTTCCTCCGGCATTATTTCCATGCGCAACAAGTAACACGGCCCGCATTCACAAACAAGCAAAAACAAAACAGCAGTAAAAAAACACTGTCACCTTACTGTATAGCGCACTCATGCACCACCAACAAGACACTGTAGAGAGAATCAGCCTCTAACAAGCTTCATCTGCCCACTCCTTGCCCTCCCCCGCGGAGTGGACGGCGCATGGCGTGAGAGAAGTGTCTGTGTTGGTCTGTCGTGGATGGCGGCAGTCGCAAATGCCTTGTCTGCGGGAGGCGGGAGGAAGAAGCGGGGAAAGAAGGTGGAGGAGGCGCCCGGAGAGGCCGCGGGAGGGGGAGTGCGAGAGCGAGGCCGCAAGCCACTGCGACGGCCACCGCACCGCCGCCTCTGCGCACCGCTCTCGCCCAGACGCGCACGCAGAGCCCGGCAAGCAGCAGGAACCGACCGAACCCGGCCGATTGAAGCCGAAGCGAAGTTACCCCCGTCACGGAAATGGTCCTTCCCACACACACACACACACGCAAATGCGTACGTCACCCTTTTCCTGAATGCGGGGCCGCAGCAGGCAGACACAGTGGACGAATCCCCTCGTCATTGCGCTCACACCCCCGAAGCAAAAACACACGCGAAAAAGCAAAAGAGACGGGG